GAGTGCTAGGATTACAGGCGTGAGCCACCGCGCCCGGCCTTTTAATGTGATTTTTGAAAGCATAAATAGTTTTGGCATGCAGTTCCCTTGACAGCCTTGTAGATTTTAATTTGTGAAGTACAGTTTAGCTATATAAGTAAGGGGGTTGTAGTAGATGTCGGGTTCTAAAATATGGAGTTCAGAAAGGTTTGTGGCCTTCTGCTTTCCCTGTTTCCATCAGATGATCAGGTAGGTGTCATGCATCCTAGAAGAGTTAGTTGTCACTGTGCTCCAGATATTCTGAGATTCTGGAAAAATAGATGGCCTCTAAATCTATATTCACTCTCAATCCAGAGGGCATGTCTTCTCAAAGAAATGGAGCATTGCAACAGTTGGTGTTTTGCTACTAGACTCTTTCATGTATATTTGTATGCATATGTGTATGTGTGATTTTTTTTCTCCACCCACTTTTTCTTGGTGATCTTTCTTGGAACAGAGATGCCATCTTTTCTGAAAACTCCAATGGATCTAACTATTCGCACTGGTGCCATGGCCAGATTAGAGTGTGCTGCAGAAGGACACCCTGCACCTCAGATTTCCTGGCAGAAAGATGGTGGTACTGACTTTCCTGCAGCTCGAGAAAGACGGATGCACGTCATGCCCGAAGATGATGTCTTCTTTATTGCCAATGTGAAAATAGAAGACATGGGAATCTATAGCTGCATGGCACAAAACATAGCAGGAGGCCTCTCAGCAAACGCCTCACTAACAGTGTTAGGTACGTTTACTACTCAATGGATCCATGCTTTTGTTGGAGCCTTTGGGAGCTACTCTTGGTCTTAATGAGCAAGAAAAATAATTTTGATATTATTGTGATTCTTGCATATTTGTTAGTTTGCTATTTTATGCAGGTTGATGTCAGTTTAGGAGATTTGTGGGTCAGATAACTGAAATGTAGGAAAATGTGGGCAAAAGTAGGGATTTTTATCACACGAATTGAAAATTCAGATTCCTTTGTCAAACTTAACACTTTCATGTCTCCCTCTGTAAGGCTTCTGCTTTATGTATTTTTTTTAAAACTATTCAGTGAGTTTGCACTGAGAATTCCACTATTTTTCTTTGAAGTATCCCAGCCATTTGATACTGCTTTACATATGGCTTCA